TTCTTCTTTTGATTTTCCGCTTGGTGCGGAACTCTGGATGAATATCCATCTCAAGTGCAATTTCTTTTGCATCTTCCAATGCTTTTGAAAAGCCAGTTTCTCTATACTTCTTGAAAAAGGAAATCAGACCCTGTATAGACTCAATTGGAATATCAATAAGCATGTCCTTAGATTGTAGCTGCTTGCTGACCAAATTAACAGCGGATAATATATCATACCAGATAATTATTGACACTAAAAATTCAAAACCACCGAGTTCATTTTCTGCCAATGATTGTGCTTCACTACTTGTCAATGGATACATATAAGTTTCAGCCACTTGTAGTAAAGCCTCCCTTATTTCTGGCATTTGAATCCGTATAGCCTTAACACTCTCAACATGACTCTCCCAACGAGTAGATAACAATGACTTGACAGTCAACTTCTTTAAGTTATCTTTGAGAATTTGCCATCGTTTAGTCGAATTAGTAAATATTGTATAGATGCGTTGTATAATTCCAAAGAAGTCGGTTGCTTTACGGCAAGACTTCGCCATATCGCATAGTGCTAGACTTAGACTATGACAACCACAAGCTGAATAAAATGCCCTTGGATATTTGTCCAGAAATTTCTTTTGTACCCCTTTATTGTTTCCTTTCATATTTCACCCATTATCATAACCCTGTCCTCTCACATTTTCCACGTCAAGGCTAAGATTATTCAACTCCTCTTCTATATCATTAAACAAACCTTGCCCAGTGGTATCATTCACCTCCAAAAAGCCTAAGAAAGATTCTTCGATGCAAACAGAAGCAGAAGATGTATCTACATACCTAATTATCAAGATCACCCCTTTGAATTTGAGCATCTTCTTCTAATTTCTGTTTCTTCTTACACTTGAAGGCACCAGAATCATACTTTCTTCCAGAACTAGAATGCATGATTATTTCTGTTTCAATTAAATATATACTCTTTCAATTTATTTGAACTGATGAGCTCACATGAAATATAGGCTTGTGACATGTGTAGGTAGTTCAAAAAACTTACAATCAGATAGAACCTTGATTTTGTACTTGGACGATAGTACGAGCAACTACTGAAATTCTTGAATCTGTGACTACTTCTGAACTTGAATGACTGCACAAAAAACCGTTCCCAAACATATTAACACAACTTTGTAATTTCTATCAAAATTAGAGAAAAGGGGAGAGCGTAGGGAGCAGGGAGGGCACCACACCAGTTGGTCTTCTCCTGTTGGGCGGCACCGCGGCAGTGTCTGTCGGCCGCCGACGCGACGACGTCCAGCGCTAGAAAGTGGTCCGCTTCTTGCCCGTCACCTCGCTGAACCTGCAAGGTTGCAACGCGATCGCCACCGAGCCGTCGATTCAGTCGGAAGCGATGGGGGGATGGAAAGCCTAGCGATCAGGCAGGGAATAGGAGGCGGAAGTTACGGAACGTACTGCGGTGCGGCTGTCGTTTCATCTACGATCGATCAAATCCAGGTGAGGGGAAAGGCGGCTGCTACAAATAAGCCGACTGATTTCTCGCAGAAATCAGCCGCCTCGCTGGCTGTTCATTCTATTTCGATCTCGCCGTGTTCAACCGTTGGATAAGTGTACCCACTGACTGCTTCGTTCTCCCTGCCTCGCGAGTTGCGACCAAAAGCAGAGAGAAATCCCTTGCAGCTCACTCCCATCACAGTCACGTGGAAAAGTTTAACCCGAGGGCGGCGAGCTCCGGCGAAAATTTCGCAGTGTCCCACGATAGCCTACAGTGCAGCTCAAAGAGCCGCCGGCAATCGCTGCATGACAGACCAGGAGACACGGGGGTGCTGCTCCATGGCAACAGCAAGGGCCACAAAGAAGCTTCAAACGAAGCACAGATGACCCCTCCGGCGGCGAGTGCAGCTCCGACGACGCTTCAGTCCAGCTCTAGCGGCGCTCCATTGCAGCCCCGGACGGCGCTCCAGTGCAATTTGCGTCGGCGGCGAGCAGCGCTTCAGTGCAGCGCTGCGTGCTGCACCGCATCACCGGCGGCGAGCGACGCTCCATTGCAACTCCGTCGGTGGCGCTTCAGTGCAGCTCCGCATGCTGCACCGCATCACCGGCGGCAAGCGGCGCTCAACTGCACTCGGGCCTCTATGCTGCCTTGCAACACCGGCGGCGAGCAGCCCAACCTCTCATGTGTGCTGCGTTGCAGCACCGGCGCCAACGAGCTTCGCGTTGCAACGACGGCAGCACCGCCGAGTCGTCGGGTCGCAGCCCGACGTGGGCTGTGTTACTGCATCACGGCGCAGGCGTGTGGGTCTTGAGGAGCAGCAAGTGAAGATTGGGAAGCAGGCCATGGCGGTTGGGACTTGGACGGGAGGCCATGAGATAAGGCCGGGCAGGTGGTGGGCGCCCCCCCACCAGGATGCGTGGCGTCCGTAGAGCGCGGCTTAAGAGACGGAAAATTCATCCGGTAGAAAATAAACGTTTCCCGAGGGGAAAGCGTATCGCTCGAGACTTGGACCAGGCCCAAGAAGGCCTAAAACTGAATTTTTTTTCCAGACTATACATATATGTATATGGACCCTAGTTGGGGGCCCCAGGATTTTGGGGGCCCTGTGCGAGCGCACAGCTCGCACAGGCCCTTGGACGGCCCTGTCAATGGCATTGGGCAATTTAGATATTTGGTGCCAAAGCTTGAACAATATTGGTTTTTTCCTATGACATATCACGAGCCCTCCTACCTGTTGCTGCTCTAGATCGAGTTCATATGCTCTTCTCAAGCCTACCGTCATGGATATTTAGTTCCTTTGTGATTTTGAGTCAGACCGGGCATGGCAAGTTGGCCACACTACTGCAAGATCATAGTAACTACAAGAGAAAAAAATCATGTGTGCAAGGTGAGTCCGCACTTCATTCAAACTCCTTGCTTTTTCTCTTGCTATATCTCTGTCCTATATTTTCTTCTCACATTTTAAAATATAAAATAGATGGTATGAATTTGGCTAATGTGGACTGGTCGACAGATAACAGATCTATTTGGGTCTGGATCCTAGGATTCACTTGTTGAGTACAAGGTGCACGTGCTATCTTATAACTCTCTGGTAGTGTGTTGCGGCTGGGGAAGAGACAAGGAGAGAAGAGAACAATTCAACAGGGGAAGAATAGAGCAAGCAGCAGCAAAAACAATGGTCATTGATTCTGTGCTATTGCAACGGATGAACAAATAATGAAGAAAGATGAACGAGGGAAGATAAACCGGAAAATGGAAGAGTGGGTGCTTTCTTGGCAAGCATTGTCATACTAATCATCCATACTTCAATGGTAACCTTCTATTTAGTCTCAAACTATCAAGAGCCATACTTACTATTAGGCTAAATGGTTATGTGATATTTTTTTCTCCTCCGTTGCAACGCGCGGGCCTGTTTGCTAGTCAAGTCTAACGATGATCACATCATGGGGTGAACGAGGATCTCATCATCATAATGGCATGCTGGGTAATTTTGTCACTTAAGTCAAATCTAATGGCTGTATAATTTTAGTCACTTAAATCAAATCTAATGGCTGTGTAATTTTAGTCTATTAAATTAACGGTCGAATATTTCTAATTTTTGTGGGATTTTTCTAGAATATTTCTCTTTTTTTGGTTATCCCATCAAGCACCTTTTTTATATAAATAGATTTAATGTATGAATTCGCCCTAAGGTGTGTCTGATAAATTGGTCCTAAAGACCATGTCATAGACAGGGGCACATGTTTTTACCTTGAAATGTTTTCTCGGGAAAAGATGCAACATCACATCGATAATACATAGAACAATAATGGTTACATCAGAAATAGCATTACAGACCGTCGTTTTGATCTCAAAAGACAATAGACTTAACAAAAAGCCATAGTAAAATAGAAGCCCCGACACGACTGTACTTCTAACTAGACTACAATAATTCAGATAGTTTCAAGGTACAGTGTGCAAGAACAAGGGAATGGCCAATTAAAAGTTCCCAACACGAAAAGTTCTTACTTCATTGAGAAGGTTGGAAATACCACCCGATGACAAGGCATTAATGCCATTCAGTTGACCACCAAGCGCTTGCTGATCCATTGTTCCTTCTTGCACATGGAGAATGCCAGATGCATCACCGACATCATGCATCTGGGTCAATGGGACAAAACCATGTGTTTGATGGTTGGAAAGTGCAGAACTAGTTCTTCCGTAGTTAACCATATCAGTCTCTGCCACTGAAGTTCTTCATGTACCATGTGCAGACCTGCCATTTAACATCATTCCAACCGAGCCCATGTTGCTTTCTATGTTGAATGGCGCCATGTGCTCACTGAAGCCTGCTGCTAAGGTAGTGATGGGGTCGCTGTAAACGAACTGAGGTGGTGCCATTGGAACACTATCGTTTGCATTCAACATCAATATAGAGCTTGGGTTGCCGGGTATGATTGATGGAACTATGTGCTCATTGAAGCCAGAAAATCTTCCCATATAGGGTGTCTGTGGAACCAAATACACCGGCATTCTACCAACATTTATTAATGAACCCATGGACATACTGCTCTGGGTGTTTGTATGCTGACCTAAGTGACCCGCTTCACCGTAATGGTTGGGACTCCAGGAGGCGATGCCACCTGAGGACACACCCCACCTTTCATGTTCATGGTTATGCATAATACTCTCCTGAATGTTCATGAAAGAGTTCCATCTTACACATGCATCACAAAGTGGGTTTGGGTTGACTCTTTTCAAGTACAATTTATACTTCTGAAATAACAATATAGACAAAATAAACGTGTATATGAGATGCACGCTCATGGGAGATAGTAATGGTGGACATGTGGGAACAAAACTAACTGGAAGTGTTGCATGGGTTAAAAAAGTATGGGGCATGCATTACATAAGATAAGCCTTTCATTTTCAAGGACAAACATAATTACAATTACACACATTTTCATGCTAGGTGCATTACTAAACCTTTGAATGACATGTTACCCAAAATATAAAAGATCGCACTTATATACGACAAAATGTTAGACTATGAATAAATGGAACACAAACATGTGAAAAATAAAGAACGAGGGTCGAAAATAAACCTGTAGATGACTCGATACATTTTGTCTAGTGAGGAGATCGACATTCATCATCTCCAGAATCTTTTTTGGAGTAGCCCCTATAGTAACGTAATCAAAAAATTGTTAATGAAAAATCCCAAATAGCAACAAGTGTTTTGTCATTTAATTAGTTCATAATGTGTGTCTTACTATAAAGGCCGATCTGGTTGATAGCTTCCATAAACTTTGTATGCAGCTCAATTGTCCATCCCACTTTTGGCTTCTTCTGGGTAGTGGATGCCAGTGTGTTCTGTTTGTTCTCATCAGTATTAGCTCCATCATTGCTCTTGCCAGCAGTCCCAAGCTGTGCTCTCTGATCGTCATCATCATCACCGCTGATGTGCCTTATTGCTTCTGATTTTCTCTTTCTTTCAACATGCTGCCATATATTTTTTAGCTCGTTGGTATGCACTGGCTTCACCAAATAGTCACACGCCCCATGATTTATCCCCACCGTCACAGCCTTCTTGTCGCAATCTTCAGATAGCACTGCATGCCATATGACCTGACTTAGCTTTGCAGTTCAGTACTTCACAAAAATCTATGAACTGGACATAAAATTTTATACTAGCGCTTATAGACAGAAAACATAATTCAATATTTTCCAAATGCATCGAGCAAGTGGGGAAGCAAACATGTTTTACACATGATTTTCAAATTATCATGAAAATGATATAATTTGCTTTCCAATGCAGATTAAATGGAAAAATATTCACAAATTCAATTAATAGTATAAAAGATAAATAATCGATAAAAAATAACCATGACACAATGCTTAAACCATCATAACACCATGTTCTAACTAGGTAAATCTTATCATCACACTTAAGTACTGGTGAACCTAAAGATCAATTACTATTATTGGTGGTTTACCATGTTTCTCTAGCACACTAGATAAAAGTGATCAGCTCCAGCAATGTTCTGAGCATGTTAAGGAATCATGCACATAGCAGCGCCATTATCTGAAGTATTTTTATTACAATTTGGGATAATAAGTATTTTTAGTTTCAATCTCCACCAAAAATAATGTTACTACAAATTAGTGTGCTAGTTCAAAGTCAAAAAAGCTGTAGGATCGTAGATATTATACATGGTTAACCTACTCAATGTATCTGCTTAAAAGTGGAACTCCTTTATATGGTATTCTCAGGAGTAAGTACTTTTAACAAACAATCTCAAGCAGATTATAGATGGGTAATCCTTTAATAACGTAAATACAACATACGTAGTTTCCTAATTGTATTACTCATGCCACCCTAGCAAAAATGTGCTGCAATTCTATACTTTGTGTGATTGCAAGGACTAGACATTTGATATTAGTTTAGAAAACAACTAAATATAATTTGGTCATATCACAAAATATAAATATATTATAGTTTTGGTTCTTATGACTAGATTTTTACAATAGTTAAATTAAATTGAGTCCATCAATGCACCCACACCGAACACATCCGAGTAGTGGGTGTACATTGCATAGGAGTGTGACACATACTCACAATAAGCTAGATTACCATATATATTGTATGGATGGTATTTGAACTCTACACTTCAGGCACTATGTATTGAAGTTCTAAATCAAATTTATACTGAATCTAGACGACATGTTTTAATGCAATTGGAACATGAATTGATCGAAAATAGAACCGATTCCTATAGGGGCTTGTTGCCTACTTATAATTATATATGGTACACATCACCATGTCTATAGCATACTAAAAACAATTAACACAATTATTTAAATTAATAATTCATTGGATCTCTTAACTCACATGTTACCACTTCCATTCCCCTGCCCCCACTAACAATCAATCGATCGATGAGCGGTTCGGCAGGATCCCATTGGTTCAGGCAAGGAACCGATACCACTAGCGATCCTGCGATCCGGCCTCCTCTTAATTAACTAATGTGTCGATTCACCTCCGCTCTACTACCCGGCCCACTGGCCATCCGATCGGACAGATGAACGGTTAGATGGGATCCCGTGGTTCAGGCTGAAAGGGGATCCCACTCTTTCGATTTCCCCAAAGTTAAAAATAGGGTGAGTGTGCCGTGCATGCGTATTTGGTTTCCTAAAATCGTGTTGAATATATAGGATCTCACGTGCTGCCCAATGGAATGAATGTCCTCTCACTGTATATCCAAGATTCAGCATTAGAAGTGCGTTCTCAAAGAGAATTGTCTGCTCATACGCACAAAAATAAAAGTAGGGCTTAGAATTGAGCAGTGAGTGTACTGATGACGGGCAGATCCATCTCGAGGCGGATGAGCTCGAGGAGCTTGAAGCTGTCCATGTCCTGCATGCGCACGTCTGTGATGACCACATCGAACTTCTCCTTCCCCGACCTGAGAATCTTCACCGCCGTCTTGGCATCCGTCACAGTCGTTGCTGCATCGCAGAAAGCATTATTCGCAGAGAAACAAAAAGATCACAAGGCTCCGATTCTAATGGACTTTGGCGAAGCGGAGGGATCAAGATTCAAGAGACTCACGGTCGTATTTGCAGCCGTGCAAGAGGTTGTCTAGCACCTTGAGGCAGACGCAGTCGTCGTCCACGGCGAGGACTCGTAACCCGTCCGGGAACTTGTCCTCCGCCGCACCCTCCATCATCGGCCTTTGGTCCCCACCCATCGCGGCCATGTTTTCCGAACTTCTTCCCACCTGGCAAAGCAAATGACATCAAGAAAAGCACTGATTAAGGAACAAGGGGACTGACCAACACAAACCCCACAGACATCTTATTAAGAACAGAACCCAAAACCTCTGTTAGATTAGATCCCTCCTTTCCCACCTCCTACAATGTCTTCCTCGTCGCAGGGCAGAACAGAACCAAAATGTGGATTTCAGAGGAGCTTTGTGCGAAGGGCTGGAGGATGCAGGGCGCCTTTTATAGGGGTAGAGGGGTCAAGGAAAGGAGTGGAAGTCTTGTGGTCCCCGTTCTGTTCATGCGCTACTTAATTTCTACTCAATAATTTCTGAATCTACAGTATTAATTTCTGAATCTACAGTATTAATTTTGTGCATGTATTTTGGTGTCTGCTTGTGCCATCCGCCGATGAGAGGAAAGCAAAACCACGGGCTATGTTGCCGTTTTTTAGTTTTTTGTTCTTTTCTTAACAAATGTTGGAGCACGAAGATATGATTCGAATTTAAAAAGGAGATACGACTGCTTTGTTCGGCTGCATGGCCATGGACAGAGTGATTTTGTGCTTCCTTTGACCGGAAACGGAGAGCGCGTTCATTGCCTCAACGGCCACATCCCTCCCTACCTTTGCAGGGACGTGACAATGTGTGAGGCCTAAACTCATATTTACTTTTTTAACACAGTACAATCAAAGTCGCTCACATACACAAATTTTCAGTGCCCACTTCATGGCCGCCTCGTCGCCGAGCGCGTCATCATGCTCGCTCTTCACGGCGGCGAGCCCCGGCTCCGTTTTCGGCTTGACGAGGCGGGGAGGAGCCGAGCAGGAGGCATGACCGCCCTCATTGATGACGATGCCGGCGCTGCGGGTGCGCCGGCCGAGCGGTGTTTCCATGATCTCGAGCTTGACGCTGACGAGCGCCGATGTCCGGGAGGAGTGGTAGGAGGATCGGGAGGAGGAGGAAGACCCGCCCAGTATTCGCCACGGCAACCACGGTTGCCGGTGTCGTACTCCGAGAGGGCGCGCTCCTCCTCCGATAGGGAGGCCCCCACACGCTCAATCTCGGTGTGGAAGTATCTGGGGTGTTTGACATCGGGCAGAGGGAGGACTGCGAGGCCCCCGGCGCTGAGCCTCCACTTGTTGGGGAACGCTGTAATTTTAAAAATTTCCTACGCACACGCAAGATCCATCTAGGTGATGCATAGCAACGAGAGGGGATAGTGTTGTCCACTTACCCTAGTAGACTGAAAGCGGAAGCGTTATGACAACGCGGTTGATGTATTCGTACGTCTTCATGATCCGACCGATCGTAGCACCAAAGATACGGCACCTTCGGGATCTGCACACGTTCAGCTCGGTGACGTCCCATGAACTCTAGATCCAGCTGAGTGTCGAGAGAGAGCTTCGTCAGCACAACGGTGTGATGACGGTGATGATGAAGTTACCGACGCAAGGCTTCGCCTAAGCACTACAACGATATGACCGAGGTGGAAATCTGTGTAGGAAGGCACCGCACACGGCTAAGAGATCAACTTGTGTGTCTATGGGGTGTCCCCCTTCCCCGTATATAAAGGAGTGGAGGAGGGAGAGGGCTGACCCTCTATGGCAAGCCCTAAGGGGGGAGTCCTACTCCCGGTTGGAGTAGGATTCCCCCTTTCCCTTGTTGGAGTAGGAGAGAAGGAAGGGGAAGAGAGAGGAAAGTAAGGGGGGGACCCACCCAATTCGGATTGGGCTAGGGGGGGCACCCTCCACCTTGACCTTCCCTCTCTTCTCTTCCACTAAGGCCCATATACTCATCGGGGGGTTCCGGTAACCCCCCGATACTCCGGTAAATGCACGAACTCACCCGGAACAATTCCGATGTCCAAACATGGCCAACCTTCCAATATATCGATCTTTATGTTCGACCATTCTGAGACTTCTCGTCATGTCCGCGATCATGTCCGGGTCTCTGAACTACCTTCGGCACATCAAAACACATAAACTCATAATACCGATTGTCACCGAACATTAAGCGTGCGGATTCTACGGGTTCAAGAACTATGAAGACATGACCGAGACTAATCTCTGGTCAATAACCAATAGAAGAACCTGGATGCTCATATTGGTTCTTAAATATTCTACAAATATCTTTATCGATCAAACCGCATAACAACATACGTTGTTCCCTTTTGTCATCGGTATGTTACTTGCCCGAGATTCGATCGTCGGTATCTTAACACCTAGTTCAATCTCGTTACTGGCAAGTCTCTTTACTTGTTCTGTAATGCAACATCCCGTAACTAACTCATTAGTCGCATTGCTTGCAAGGCTTATAGTGATGTGCAGTACCGAGAGGGCCTAGGGACACCTCTCCGATAAACGGAGTGACAAATCCTAATCTCGATCTATGCCAACTCAACAAACACCATCGAAGACACCTGTAGAGCATCTTTATAGTCACCCAGTTACGTCGTGACGTTTGATAGCACACTAAGTTTTCCTCCAGTATTCGGGAGTTGCATAATCTCATAGTCATAGGGACATGTATAAGTTATGGAGAAAGCAATAGCAGTAAACTAAACGATGAAAGTGCCAAGCTAACGGATGGGTCAAGCCAATCACATCATTCTCTAATGATGTGATCACGTTCATCAAATGACTACTCTTTGTCCATGGCTAAGAAACTTACCCATCTTTGATTAACGAGCTAGTCAAGTAGAGGCATACTAGTGACACTTTGTTTGTCTATGTATTCACACATGTACTAAGTTTCCGGTTAATACAATTCTAGCATGAATAATAAACATTTATCATGATATAAGGAAATATAAATAACAACTTTATTATTACCTCTAGGGCATATTTCCTTTAGTCTCACACTTGCACTTGAGTGAATAATCTAGATTACATTGTGATGATTCTAACACCCATGGAGTCTTGGTGTTGATCATGTTTTGCTCGTGAGAGAGGCTTAGTCAACGGGTCTGCAATATTCAGATCCATATGTATCTTGCAAATCTCTATGTCTCCCTCCTTGACTTGATCGCGGATGGAATTGAAGCGTCTCTTGATGTGCTTGGTTCTCTTGTGAAATCTGGATTCCTTTGCCAAGTCAATTGTACCAGTATTGTCAGATTTTTATTAAACCCGATGCACTAGGTATGACACCTAGATTGGATATGAACTCCTTCATCCAGACTTCTTCATTTGCTGTTTCCGAAGCAGCTATGTACTCCGCTTCACACGTAGATCCTGCCACGACGCTCTGCTTGAAACTGCACCAACTGATAGCTCCACCATTCAATAAAAATATGTATTCGATTTGTGACTTAGAGTCATCCAGATCAGTGTCAAAGCTTGCATCGACGTTACCGTTTACGACGAGCTCTTTGTCACATCCATAAATGAAAAACATATCTTTAGTACTTTTCAGGTATTTCAGGATGTTCTTGACCGCTGTCCAGTTATCCACTCCTGGATTACTTTGGAATCTCCCCACTAAACTAATAGCAAGGCACACACCAGGTATGCTACACAACATTGCATACATGATAGAACCTATGGCTGGAGCATACGGAATGACTTTCATTTTCTCTCTATCTTCTGCAGTGGTCGGGCATTGAGTCTGACTCAACATCACACCTTGTAACACAGGAAAGAACCCTTTATTTTCTTGATCCATTTTGAACTTCTTCAAAACTTTATCAAGGTATGTGCTTTGTGAAATTCCAATTAAGCGTCTTGATCTATCTCTATAGATCTTGATGCCCAATATATAAGCAGCTTCACCGAGGTCTTTCATTGAATTTTTTTTATTCAAGTATGCTTTTATACTATTCAGAAGTTCAGTATCATTTCCAATCAACAATATGTCATCCACATATAATATCAGAAATGCTACAGAGGTCCCACTCACTTTCTTGTAAATACAGACTTTTCCAAAAGTCTGTCTAAAACCATATGTTTTGATCACACTATCAAAACGTATATTCCGACTCCGAGAGGCTTGCACCAGTCCATAAATGGATCGCTGGAGCTTGCACACTTTGTTAGCACCTTTTGGATCGACAAAACCTTCTAGTTGCGTCATATACAACTCTTCTTTAAGATATCCATTAAGGAATGCAGTTTTGACATCCATTTGCCAAATTTCATAATCATAAAATGTGGCAATTGCTAAAATGATTTGGACGGACTTAAGCATCGCTACAGGTGAGATGGTCTCATCGTAGTCAACTCCTTGAACTTGTCGAAAACCTTTCGCAACAAGTCAAGCTTTGTAGACAGTAACATTACCGTCAGCGTAAGTCTTCTTCTTGAAGATCCATTTATTCTCTATGGCTTGCCGATCATCGGGCAAGTCAACCAAAGTCCACACTTTGTTCTTATACATGGATCCCATCTCAGATTTCATGGCCTCAAGCCATTTTGCGGAATTTGGGCTCATCATCGCTTCCTCATAGTTCGTTGGTTCGTCATGGTCAAGTAACATGACCTCTAGAACAGGATTACCGTACCACTCTAGTGCAGATCTTACTCTGGTAGACCTACGAGGTTTGGTAGAAACTTGATCAGAAGTTTAATGATCATCATCATTAGGTTCCTCACTTACTGGTGTAGGAATCACTGGAACTAATTTCTGTGATGAACTATTTTCCAATAAGGGAGCAGGTATAAATACCTTGTCAAGTTCTACTTTCCTCCCACTCACTTCTTTCGAGAGAAACTCCTTCTCTAGAAAGTATCCATTCTTAGCAACGAATATCTTGCCTTCGGATCTGTGTTAGAAAGTGTACCCAACAGTCTCCTTTGGGTATCCTATGAAGACACATTTCTCCGATTTGGGTTCTAGCTTATCAGGTTGAAACTTTTTCACATAAGCATCTCAGCCCCAAACTTTAAGAAACGACAATTTGGGTTTCTTGCCAAACCACAGTTCATAAGGTGTCGTCTCAACAGATTTTGATGGTGCCCTATTTAATGTGAATGCAGCCGTCATTAAAGCATAACCCC